CTAATTCGCAAAATAAGGTGATTTTAGGTGATTTTTAACTACTTGACCGTGATTTGAAACCAGTGTCAGTATAATCTTAGGAAAGGCATGTTGTTAACATAAGCAAGAATTAAGTCCAATGAAACTGAATCTCAAAATCGAGTTGTCGTCCCCGGCGTCAGTGACGTCGTATGATTTGTGTGCGATTTTTACCAATTAACCCCTAGGTAAAAAATAGTTGAGCCATGTAGTACTTTGCAAATCAACCCAGAAACACGGTTGTTTGTTGATTGTTTATTGGTAGCGTCCCTTTGCTGCCAAAAATATTTTTTTCAACGGAGGGCATGGTGAAGGCTGGTTACGATTTGGTTCCACATCGATTGAGTATTTTTATTCATCTATTCTAGTACACATGTACTGTGTCCGTAGGCCTATTTGAATGCATTGTTTAGATCTGCTCTCCTTTTTCCATCTGTATTTCAGAGCTCAAAAATTTTTTTTCACATTTTTTGAATCATATGGTGGTGTAGAATAGTCTTTTAAGAACATTTTCCAGAAAAAATATTAGCATACGACCCACCATTATAGAATAAGAGTATGGTGACTCCGAAAAATGACGTGAGGCCATAATTGATTCTACGTTTCGTTCTTTTGTCCACATTGTCAAGAATGAATAAAGTCGATGATGGTGAAAAACTTAAAGCCCCATTCCCGGCAAAATTTCAGTTGTTAAGAAAAATCTAATTTTTGTATAATGTTATAAAGATTTATAAATATAATACGAAATTGCTAGTTTAACTAAATTTTGACATTCCTAAGCATGAAAAAATGTAAAATAAGACTGAAATTTGATTTCTTGTGTTCCACACAAAAAAATAAATGCGGATGAATTTTTCATATTTGATTTTGCGATACGTCGTGCGAAGAAATATAGTAGGGGCCGAAAACATTAGTCTATCCAACACTGCTAGGCTAGGCCTAGCCTTACCTCGATTTAGGTTCTGTTATCACACATAAAAACGGCCGACATGATATTTTCCGTTGCTAGTATTGACACTTGTGAAATATAATATTTCATAGGAATTATTTCAAATTTGTTAAAAAACTTATTCTGACCGAGATTTTGACACTTAAACAAACTCAGGCCTACTCGAACAACCGAATTGTGCGAGATGCGAAGTACAAAAACTAGTCCCATTAGAGAGGGCGCACTTTATTGACTGTAAGTATACATAAAAGCGAGAGTATTCCAGCGGATGCGATCTAGAACCTCCGAATTTGCCTAGTAACGAAGAATTCGTCGAGAAAATGGTAATATTCTATGAGAAATAGTCTGTATTCTCATTTTTTTTTAATTCTTTTGCGTAAAACTAAAATTTATGCCAATATTTTCCATGATTTATAATAATTGGAGTAATGCATATGCATCTTTTCTATTAAAAAAAATCTGTTTTTAGTGAAATTTTGCCGGGAATGGGGCTTTAACTAACAGAAATCAAAACAAAAGGTAAATTCTGACCAATCATGAAAAAGGGCAGATATAATGATGTTGAAGACATGATCAGCTGATAAACAAAATAATTTTTGTAGAACAAAAGCCTAGTTAGCATGCACTTACACTTCGATGAATAATGAATGCAAGCTCTTTAGAGGCCAGCTCTGAGACCATAGTTTAGACTAGGTTTGTATCTTGTTATTGCTAAGGCGTCAATAAAAGTTCTGACCAGTGCACAGAACCATGAATAATATCAGTATTTTCAAATAGTAAGGACTCTATAAGAGATTGTTTAGATTTAGAATCGTCAGCAGTTATAAGATGATGACCAATTATATTGTTTAAGACCTTCACAACTCTCAATGTGTTCATTCATGTACACTACTATTTGCATATATGAGAATGCGCAACAGCTTGAACTTTTAATTAAACATCCGTTATGGAGTATGACTTTTTAAAAACCATGAGGTCAAGAATTCAGCATCAAAGCTTATCTTATTTTTGCCGGTTACGTACCACTGACTTGGGTTGTTTGTCATTACTTCAAGATGTCTACCGATTCAAGGAAAAGTGGAGTATGAGTTCCAAATAATTATGGTCAAGAAAATATTTTAACATTCGGCGCCCCATACCCCGGCCCCTCATAGAGATCGAGTGAACGAACACATCCGAGACGAGTTGCAGGATAACTTTCTTCAAAACAACGTGCGCTGATCATCACCGACTGTATAAAAATAAGTTTGTGTCTGTCGTTGGATGTGTTGTAGCTTTAATAATAATGAGTCACGATGAACCGTAAGTTAAATAACATTAGGAAGGCATGACTTTATGTTTTAAAATCATTAAACAAATGTAGGTCGTCCTAGGCCCTAGCCTACGTCAGCCTAGGCCTACTACGCCTGGACTGGTCTAACTAGGCCTAGCTAGGCTAGGCGCCTGCACATATGGCCGGCCGTCCCTAGCCTAGGCTAGTTCTTACGCTAGGTTAGCCTATTACTAGCAGCGCTAGTTACTATGCATAGGGCCTAGTCGAAGCCGAACAAAGCCGGGCCTGGCCCCAGCGGTCAGCCTAGGCCTAATTAATATTAATAAAACCACGGACGGCTAATATGGATGGGCAGGCTTTCTTACTTTACCTAGCTAAGCTAGGCCTCGGCCTCCTAGACTATAATATATATATATATTACTGTCCCAGGGAGGCCTGTCTGTAGCCTAGGCTTATTCCTAACAACTGAATTATAGGCCTAACTAAATATGATTTGATAGCCTTAGACCTACTAATTTGCCAACAATTTTTTTTAAATTGTGAAAATGTTGTGATGGAATGTTTTGCCAAGAGTTTGCCAACAGATATTTTGTTTGACAGATTCTTTGCTAGGCCTAAATCAATATTTGATATCACAGACAGGCCATTTATTTACTGTGAGGCAAAATGGTGTTTCTCCGAGAGCGTGTTTTGCCTACAAAAACTGCAAATGTACACCAACTAATTCAAATGTGCAAACCATACTTTTCAGTGTGAGCAAGACCTCAACAACATTTGTCAGCATAAAAATGCTTTTTTTTTTACTCTTGAGAGAATTGAAACTGAAAATTGAATAGAAACTAACCACCGTGGCACCGTGTAAATTCATGGTGGTATATTGACATTCAGGTTCAGAATAATACACAAAATACTGTAATTTGCAAAATGTCCTATCATATTTCAGTCCTTTGGTGGTCCAATTTCTTTTTGTTAACTTTTACTTGAGGCTCAAATCATTTCATCTGGCTTCTGGACATGAACATGGAATGAAGTACAGTAAACCAATAAATAAATACTGTTTGTGATGATCTAGTCACTGTCTGTTGAAGATCCATTGGCAGTGGTTCAAAACGTCACTGACAGTATGTATTTATTGGTTATTTTAAGAATTTAGTCCCATGTTTAAACTTTTAATAGTTTTTTGAATTAGTTAATCATAATGTAAGAGTAAAGATACAATGTATTTTCACAGAGGTGTGTATATGTGAGCCTTACTGACACAAAGTTAAATGCACAAATTCATAATTATTGTATTTTAATTCCACAGTATGATGGTGGACAGTGAGGCTGACACTGGACCTGATTGGCCAGGAAGATGGAATCATGTAAAAAAATTCCTGGAAAGAACCGGTCCATTTGCACATTGTGATTTTGAAGCAAGTCCTGATGTAAGTTTGAAGTAGTTGACCATACTAAGCCTCACTTATAATTCATGACCAATATTTGTATTAAGTGATTAATTATATCTATCTGAAACATACCACTTTAAATAAAAGAGAGTATACTTGAAAATATCAGACTAATAACCAGTGTCATATCTAGGATGCTTGAAATGGTGTCTGATGGGTGTGGGGGTGCAAAGGTAAATGGGGGGTGTCAATGATTAAGTTAGGGGACGCTAGCTCACAAAATATATTGAGAGGTGATTTTTAACTAACTTGAAAGTGATTACAGTATTGCAAAATGAATACACCATCTTAACTTGTACCATTTTTATTGATTTTGTAGATTTTGAATTTCCTTTTGAACACATGCAGAATCCTAGTAATTGGTGCTGGAGGACTTGGATGCGAGATCCTGAAAGACTTGGTTTGTATCACAACAATAATATGAAGATATTTCCAATTTTATTTTAAAATCTCTAAATGGTGTGAATAACAAAAATAATAAATTTAATCATATATATTTGAATTTTCTTTTAGGCTCTTTGTGGATTTAGACAAATTGAGGTCATCGATATGGACACCATTGACCTTTCTAACCTCAACAGGCAGTTTTTATTCAGGTGAGATCAACTGCACATACTGTAAAGCCCACCACACAAATTTTATTTCATTTCAATTTTAAAAACAGGTACAGCAAAAACAAATACAAAAAAAAAACACCCTTGACAGAGACAGGATTAAAAAAAAGCAAACTTAATTGCTGTACAAATTTTCTCCACCGCCAAGTATTTATCAATAAGTTGTAGATTGGACGAATAAAATTGAATCTGAATCTAATGTGGAAAGCAGATAAAAGTAACAACAAAGGGCATATATAGGAGTCTTGAAATTGGAGTGGGGATGGGGGGTGTATGGGTGGATGGATAGTGCTCGCAGGCGCAAGCCATTTTTGTAGGGCGTGCACACCACTAGATAAGCCACTGCAAAACAAAAGGTACACTTTTGCCATTCTAGCAAGTGAGAAAACTATTTACATTGATTGATAATTTGGGGAAACATCTTGGCAACATCAAACCAATGAAATATGCATTTTCTAAAGAGAAGCTCTCTTGGCCAGTATCCACCTATCATAAGATTGGAAAAATAGGTTTGGCCAATGGGAATGCATGTTCCATGTGACATCAATAGAAACTAACAGTCCATTTCATTGTCTTTTTTTTCACACTGATTAAAATGCCATGGGAGGCAGTTAAGCTAAATCCATTAAATGTTACACAACCAGAGAGATAAGATTATGTTATCAAGTTTACCCAAAGCCCTATTTTATTTGATGAAAACATGACATGCCTAAATATGGTAATGATGACATCACATCATTACCATATATATCTACTACTTCTTCTCCTTCTTCTAGCTGCTCCCACTTAAATGTGGGGTCGCTGAGGCAGACACTACTCTTTTCCAGCTTTCTCCACCATGGACCACATCCTCTCTAGCTCTGATAGCCTTCATGTCAATTCTTACCATATATATCTACATCATTACTATATATGGGCATACAACAGCTTTTTTTCAAAGAAAATTTAATAGTGTGGTCAGAGCTTCTGTATAAGTATTGGATACGATATTTTGATTTTGGTATTTTACATATCATGTAAAGAATCTAGTAAAATTTCATTTCAGACTAAAGGACATAGGTCAGCCAAAAGCAACAGTAGCTGCAGAATTCATCAACAAACGTGTACCAGGGTGTGAGGTCAAACCGTATCTTTTATATTTGCTGTCTTAAATATGGGGGCAATTAGGGAAATAATCAACAAAGAATAAACAATATAAAAAGACTAGAATCAAAGTAATCATCTTTTAGTAATCTTACTGTGTACAGTATATGTAAAATGTTTTATTTAAAATATGGCTACCTTCTTAGAAGACTATATTAAGTTAGGGTTGAACTTAAGAGTAAGCCTAACAATCATCTTGCCAAGATCAAGATAAATTAAATCTTATAAAAATTATAATAATTGACTAGAATGGGTTGAATTGATTTTTAACTCTGGCAACCGTCTACAAATATAATGCATATAATTTTTAGTGAATTACTATACATATTTTTTTATATTTTATCCATCATGTTGAATTTTCTTAACTTTCTAAAGGCATTTTAACAAAATACAAGACTTTGATGAAACATTCTATCAAAGTAAGTATTGATAGTTATCTATGTGTTAGAACATAAAATATTCATATTAGTTTGTTGTTATTTAATGTTTATTTTGTTTCAGAATTCCACATTGTTGTGTGTGGCTTGGATTCGATAATTGCCAGACGGTGGATAAATGGGATGCTAGTAAGTAAAAGTTATGACAATCATGATAATATTATTTTGCAATGTAGCAGGGGAAGCTTGCTAGATGTTTGCAAGAAGTATACTGCACAACATTGTCTTTTGTCAAATTCAAATTTAGGCATTTCATATTTTCATTCACATATTTTAAAAATCTGTTCATATTTTAGTTGAGCTTGTTAAGATATGAAGACGGTGTACTGGATCAAAGTTCATTAATACCGATGATTGACGGAGGCACGGAGGGCTTCAAAGGAAATGCACGTGTCATCTTACCTGGGATGACGCCTTGTGTTGAATGTACATTAGATCTGTACCCTCCACAGGTAGGTCACTCACTGAATCTGATCCTTTACATTTTAATAATAAAGTCCCCAACAGAGGGTCTGCACCCACCTCAACCCCAGCAGGTTTGGACAAAAGAATATGTACTTTTAGATGCCCAGAAATAGCGCTTCCAGATTGTAAAACACGCTTTTTTCAAATAGTATTCCCCAGCAAAATGATTTGTTTCTTACCTAGCATAGGGGTCTATGGTAAGTATGTTTAAAATTATATATAAACCAGACCACTCAAAGTGCCAATGTTCCTATCTTGCCATTTTGGTAAAATATTTACAGTAATTATAATGCTGTAAATAGAAGTAGGGAAACAAATGAAACAGATCCAGGGATTTTCTTTAATTGTTAATTCAGGAAGAAATGTAGGGACTTTTTAGTGTCCTCTAATCTTAATCATTAGTCATTACATTTTTGTTACATTCCCTATAGTCCCAATTATCATTTGGAGAGGTCAGGAAATTGGATCTGGTTTCTATCAAAATAGACATTAATCCACTGTGCCATATAATGCTAGATTATTCCTTGGATGGAGGAGGTGGGGGGTGGGGGAGGTAGTAAAGTTGTGTATTTCTTTAATATTTACCCAACAATGTTTGCAAGCAATAGGGCACAATTACATGACCAATGCTACATGTATGCAAAGATTTATAACCAACAGGTGTTTGGAAATTCAAATTTGCTTGTCAACAACAACAATTTGATGACGTTTGGATGCACATGCATAGTTGATTTGCATAGGTTCCTATTGCTTTACAGCATAGGAACCAAACATATTAATATAAATATTGATATTAATAAAATATGAAATTTTGTCTTTCAGATCAATTTTCCAATGTGTACTATAGCTCATACACCAAGGTTACCAGAACATTGTATAGAATATGTTAAAGTTTTGTTGTGGCCACAGGAAAAACCCTTTGAAGGCAAGTTTTGAGTCGAAATGTATACAATGGCAGCACAGGATAAGGGGGCAATTAGTGTGCAAGCATTTGTGTCAGTGACAAAGCTTAAGGCTCTGTCTACACCATCAAATTTTCTCCTCTGAAACCTAGAATTTATGAAGACAACTTTTTTATATCTTTGTTATATCAGGTGTGGGGATTGATGGAGATGACCCTGCTCATGTTCAGTGGATATTTGAGAAAGCTCAGCAGAGAGCCGATGAGTACAACATTCAAGGGGTTACCTATCGATTAACACAAGGTATGTATGCCAATGACCGTACTTGACCCTCAAAGGACATGACATTGTGCAAGCAGTTAAAACCAACTATAAATATAAAATTTTAATAAATTTAAATGCCTAACAATAAATGCTATTTAATGTTTAAAATATTATACCAATATCTCATCGTTTTTTTTATTAGGAGTTGTAAAGAGGATCATTCCAGCGGTCGCATCAACAAATGCAGTGATCGCTGCCCAGTGTGTTACAGAAGTTTTCAAGGTGGCAAGTAGGTAGGTAAACAACCAGTCATAATAAAGACCACCTATGTACAGTATGCTAATAGCATGCATGTGTCCTATGCTAAAAACAGTTTTTAATGGGAATGTGTATTTATTGTTAATACTACACATTAAATCAAAGGAGTGTAATGACTTTTCTTGTGCTGATAAATGTTATAAAACAGAAATGAAGATATCATTTACAATTATAGTTAAACTTGCCTAAGTCGAATTTGCCTAACTTGAATAATTATTTTACAAGCTAAATTGTTGTATTTTCCATTAATTAACAATCTTTATGTCAAAGTCGCAAAATTTTTTCAATGGCATTTTGGATTCGACTTAGGCAAGTTCAACTTATTACCATTTTATTATTGTTTATTAATCAAATATAATTGTAGTTTTGCCTTTCCCTCGAAATCTGTTGTTGAAATAACTTTTTTTATGTGGGGGTAGGTAGGTGGGAAATAAATACATATCTCCCTCTAATTAAAGACTATTTTTCTGTGGTCCCAAATTAACAAATGTCTTATCTTTATTATTTTAATTAGAGACCAATTCTGCTAAAGCCATGGAAACCCCAGTCCCAAAAATTGTCTTTAATTGGAGGGAGACCTGTATATCGATAATTGTGAATAATTTCATTAAGATGTTTTTTTTTATTACCAATAATATTAAATTATATATGTTTATGATTAATTGTTGGTTACCTTTATTGCAGTTGTTGTAACCCACTGAATAACTACATGGTGTTTAATGATACGGATGGACTGTACACATACACGTTTGAAGCAGAGAAGAAAGTAAGTGTCTGAACTATGTATTTGTATACAGGTACTAATGTACTTCAGTTGGAAGTAGCTTGTTTTAACAGTTTAATTGAATTCCGTTTTTATAGGAAGATTGTCTGGCTTGCAGTCAGGTTCCCCAGAATATTGTCGTTCCTGAAGATGCGACATTGCAAACAGTAATTGACTATTTATGTGAAAATCAACAATTGTGAGTAGTATTTTTTTATCTTAATTTTACTCCATTTTATAAACAAAAATGTTTAATTTTTGCATTTCCGAATTAATTTAATTTATAAGTCAGATTAAATATGGAGAGTTCTCCAACAGTAAACTTGTTTTTACTTTTGAGCAATCCAGTTGAGTTTCAATGACTTTTTAAACTTTTTTAAAATGCTTGTTTTTTTTTTTTTTTTGTACTTTATTGACGAAATAATTGATATGATATAAATCTTTCCTATTTTAAATTGCGATAAGCATAGAAATCATGACAAACAGTCCACCATTATTATTTTATTATTTTGGGATGCTTAGCAGAACTAAATACTAGAAAATGTATGCCTGTCCCAAACGTTAACAAGTTTTACCTTACATCAATCCAACACACAACCATGAAGCATATCGACTTGAAAGATCTATATTGACCTACAACTAAATTAATCTGTTTAATGTGTTTTCCTTTTATGATTTTTTCTTTGCTGTAAATTTGTGTTTGCAAGTACAGTAAACTGCAATAAAATTTAATTTGTGTCCTTTTACCCTTTGTCAGTTAAATATGTGACGACAGGCTCTGGCAAAACCCTCAGCAAGTTATAATTTCCCACAATCACCCAAAATGTTTGAGAATTAGAATTTTGAACATTTTCAGGTTTTTGCATTTTAGAAAAGAAGATATATATTTCTGCAAAACATCAATCACTTAATCTAACTGAAAAGTATATTAAAATTATTTCAAAAATACAAATCTTAATAATGTACTATTGATCTTAGAATCTTTATAAGCTGTTTTCTCAAAACCTACATGGCTGATCCAATGAATTAAATATTCATAACTTTGTTAATACTCAACCAATTTCCATCAAATAAACACTGCATTAAAGAAGAATCCATGCAGAATCTAAAAATACTAAAAGCACATATTGTCTAATGGTTTTGTAAAATGCTATGATTATTCCTTGGCAACAATCTGTATTCTCTTGCCTGACTGGTCAAGCATCAGTACTTTTTGTTTTATCACCCACTTGGCATTAACCTTCTATGTTTGGACATTTTTCCTTTTTAGACAAATGAAATCTCCTAATTTAACAACAACTATGAATGGCAAGAATAAAACACTGTACATGCAAAGTATTGAGTCTATCCGCAAGCGTACAAAGGAAAATCTACCGAAGAAATTAACAGGTAACCTAAAGAGTTTAAATTTCCACATATTAATATGTGGGCTCATCAAAATTATATTATGATTTTAAGAGTCCCTTTGAAATAAATTCTACTAGCCTCCTCAAAGGAAACTATGAGGAGCCTATTGCATTTGTTTTCATTCTTTATGTCAGATTAGTGTCTTTTGATTTTGATGCTTATTATATACAATTACTATGGGTGTCATTACTGTGTTCTTGATGACAGAGCCTATTAATATTGGAACCTGTGTGGTTATGCTAATTGCTTATTTACATAATTACTATTTTTCTATAAAAAATAATTGTCTTGAGATTGGGAATAGAATTGTTTTGGTTCTAAAATTCATGTCCGGTTCATCATCAGTTATTTAGATTTAGTAGTAGAGTGGGACAATTCTTAATACATGGCAACAACAAATTTACATGTGATTTCCGAAAACTGTTTCCAAAATTCTCATTTCAGATCTATTTCATTACTACTGTGGGTGTCACCATTTTGTTCTATAAAAAATAATATAGTCTTGGATTGAGAATAGAATTGTTTTGGATTCTAAAATCCTTTCCTGGAATTCTGGAAACCCATGTCCGGTTCATCATTAATTATTTAGATTAAGTGAAAGAGTGGGACATATTTTAATACATGACAACAAACTGTTTTCAATTATTTAGATTAAGTGAAAGAGTGGGACATATTTTAATACATGACAACAAACTGTTTTTATAATTCTCATTTCAGATCTTGGTTTAACGAATGGACAAGAAATTGTAGTATCTGATCAGACCACACCTACCTCAATGATATTTGTTATCAAATTTGAGACAAAATCCTGAACTCCTATATTTCAGTATTATTCGGATATTAGTGCAGCTGATACACTCCTAATTAGTGTATTCATATGGCATATTTAAAATGCATTAGCCGTGGATTGCCCTATACTATATCAGTGATATACCGTGATCAAGATGCAATTTTTCACAACCTTGCACTGTCCCTTTCATAACATTACAAAGGTAACCATCGTCTGCTCGCTTATTCGTCATTTGTAGACATAGAATTTACACCCTCTTTGATCAAAAGAGTAAGTGTAATGCACATATATAACACTAAGGGTAATATGCTCCTATTAATAAATGATGTGCATTTTCTAGAAAAAAAAAAAAAAGAAAGAACTAGCTGTATAAACATTATTAAGAAAACAGTTTAATATTTTGTTGTGTTATGTCACAATTAAAATTGTATGGTAATACCAGCTGGATTTGCCAATAAAAAAAATATTACTCTTATGTTTGGTATTTTTGTAAATTTATGATGTGATATTCATCAACTCAAAAGCAACTCAACTCTTGCTTTTTCTTGACACCATCACTTCTGCAAGTACGTACAAAGAACAAGAAAAAAGGATGTACACATTATAGTTACTCCATCATAACAGTTCAGTATCATCATTTTATTAATATTAGTATTAGTTTTTATCTGCTCTAACTAAAAATGTACTGTCTGTTTTGAATTATTGAAAAATACCTCAGAGGTTAAAATATGTTTTATAACTTCCAAAAACATCAAAATAATTCATTTCATTGATTTCAGGAATTTATAAAAATCCTTAAATTGATTTCAGACAATTTAAGGGTCAATGCAAAAGAAAAAGAACTTATTCATGTCTGTCGAGTGGTGAGGGAATGATTTAATTTCTAATTTTCAATAAAAAACAAATGATTTTTTGAATATACACTTCCACTATAGAACACAAAATTGTTCTCCCTTTACCCCACGACTGTATAGACATTGTGATTATATTTTTAATTTTAATTACAACCGTTTCTTTATTGCAAAGCTATTAGTGATAATTACAGATACGTTGTTTTGCCTCGGAAACATGTTAGGCATGGTATTGTTACAATTTATCAAGTTTGGGGCAATCATATGCATTACCTAGCTTGTTCATACGTTGCTGTTAAGATTATTGATATAAAAACACAAATAACCATTTGATTTTGCCTTGCCAAACTCCAACAGCTCATAACAATTTTTGAATACCATTCCGAGGCAAAACAACGTATCCTCATCGTAGGTACGTTGTTTTGCCCCGTAACCTTGTAGTTACGTTATTTTGCCACGGAAAATCACTAGATTTTTAAGTTTTGTGCTTAAAGATATGTGGTGCTATCTCCGAAATGACTAATTATTAAGACCTGAAATTTTCCCAGGTAATTCAGACGTGTTTAATATATTCCCACATTATATTATCTTAAAATTGACAAAAATGTCAGTTGCGTTGTTTTGCCTCGGGACGGCCACGGAAAGAGCGAGTATTGATTCTGGATTAACACTGATGTCAATGTTCGTGTAGATTTTGATAGTATGAGCCATCAAGCACAACAAATATCTTTGTATCTTCTCTTTTACTTGAACAGTTGCATACTTACCTCATCAGAATTATCCACGACAATTGTGACCGGAAAGTTGCATGACAAAATTCTGGTTAAGAAAAGTGAGTTAGGCCAGAGGTGATAACAAATAACGTTAAGATTGATTCACCAGACGTTTGTGAAGTCCGCGAAAATAGAATTTACAATACATTCTACTTTGTCTTCTTCGCTTCCTTATATTTATAATGAATTTAAATTTTTGCGGGGTGACAAATGTATGTAGCATCTGATATAGCTACTTGTATATTGTATTTACACCATCTGCAATCTTGATCAAAGAATAGAGTGCATTTAACAAGGTTAAGACAACATAAAAATGTCCGATGCCTCCTTTTCTCATGATTTTGCATCCCAGTTAACACTATGGAATTAATAAACACTCAATATCTCTCAATTGCATTCATGGTGCTAGTTGACTTCAACTCAACAAAAAAAATGATCCTCAGATTGTGCTTATTTCTACTCACTCCACTGATAAAACTCTGGTATTAATAGTGCAAGGTAAAAATTTTTAAAACGTTTAAAATCCAAGTGAAATTAAAAATATTAGTATCATTTTTTCTTTCCTCTTTTTATAACTGTCCAGCCATCATCCTCTTCTTTATTATCTGTTTCTTTTGTTGATTCTGGGAAAAAATGCAAACAGATAATATTATAAATATTATATTAAGAAAATGATGAAGTGACTGATTTTGAAAAGAAATGATTACGTACACACACACAGTGGCACCCAACTAAGTGTTAGGGGGTGGGTGAGAGTCCACATTATCTCAGCCCCACCATTTGAGAATATGGACCTGCAGGTGCCCGGAAATTATACTTATACCTTATAAATCTTCCGAGGTACTATGTTCATATCCAAAATACAATTTATGGGGTGCGACTTGGACTGCACATGTGCGCCCCCCCCCCCACTCCGCGTTGCCACTAAATTAAAAAATGTCAATGCATATATTGAAATTAGAGCTACTCACTAATTTATTCTGAAAATGCTGTGTACCCCAGGGGCGTGTCCCGGGCCCCAGAAAGCTACTAAAATGCTTCACACACAGCAATATTAACTGCTTGAGCTCTCTCTACACTATCAAACCACACGATAATACAACAGAGTTTATTGTACTTACGGCGAGGCTTTTTTATACCTTGTTTAGTGAACCCGCAGACTGCAAATATTGATGATTTTCAATAAAAATAAAATTTTATTTTTGGCCTATTAGTGCACCTGCGTCACAAAAAAGTGGAAATCCTTATTACGCCCTCCGCTGCCTTGAAATCTCTAAAGATATGTATATTTCTTCCTAATTATATAAATTTTAAGCATTTAACCATCCTATTTAACATTCACCAATAATATTTTATTATATTTTATCCTCCATCTTGATGATTTTGGCAAAACTATTTGCAAAATAAGAAAACAAAGTTTTATTTTAAATTTTATTCCATCCTTCTCCGATAATCTTTTAAAAAATAAGTACGGAAAAACAAGGAATAAAAAGAGTCTCGCCTACCGTTGTTTGCCGGTGCTGAATCTTTTCCATTTTCCAATGAGAAGTTAGACATCATAGCTTCACAATTATGCTGACTAACATCATTTGTCTTATCCTTAACAGACAAATGAGTATAGAAAAGAAGAATACAAAATTATTTAAAAATAATTCGGAAAAAGTAATATTTCAATTAATATGGCACAGATTTCTATTTTAAGATCTGATTTGGTAAACATTCTTAGTAAGTAATAAGTTTTTGTTTTTTTTTATGTCAGAACTTTTCCTTCGTAATTTCAACTTGGATGTGTAAATATGTATGGGTAATTTTACTGTATATAAGCTTCTTTAAAAGTTGTAAAATGAATGAGAATTGTCTTTAATTATCTATGTGAAAGTGAGGAGCAATAAAAAGTGGGAATTCCCACTAAAGAAAAAAAAACAAAAACTCTGAAAATGAAGTAATTTCCACTACTTTAGTACGGTTTCGCTCAGCAAATTCTCAGTGGATTTTTCACACCAATACATAGTCCTTACATAGCGCAATTTCATAAAGATCAGAGCGTTTTTCGCATTTTTTACGTATTTTTACTATATACTGTAGCGATGAAATACATCTAACAGATAAAAAAAAACGGGAAGGTGAGAAAATAAAATAAAACAACATAGATGAAACCAAACACCACTGTACCGTTCAATTTCAGGTGCAAGACCCACCAAGTCAGTTAAGCATTCATGAAATAAAGCATTATCAATGATTTGTTTGATCAGATATGAGTCTGACAGATAGAAATTCTGATAGTGTATTTTTGACATTGAAGGAATACACTGCAAATCCATATTCAGGGAAAATACAGAGGTGTATGCTGCATTGCCTGATGTTCAACACAGGTTCTTATCTGTACCTGATCATCGTCACCATCATCTTGCCCTGGAGCCTCTGCACAGCCTTCCAATCTTGCCTTTGGTACTTCATGAATTTCTTTTAGGATCGAACTATGGTCTCCGGATTTGTACAGTGCAAAAAATTTACAAATCTTCTTACATATCTATAAATAGAAAAAAAAGAGAAAATTATTTATTCTTATTACTAATTAAATGCATATAAGAGTACAGTTTGTTGGAAAATCTGGTCAGACTTAAGCCATTTTAAGACAGAGGTTTTGGCACCGACATGACCATTCATACCAACCAAATATTGTGATATGTTTGTAATAAAACTAATTTCTGTAAAAATGGGTCATGCACGCTGAGAGAGCCATTGGTTATCTTTTTAGTTATCAAGGGCTAGGGGCATGCTTTATTGTTTATTGTTTTTACAAAATTGCTGATAAGTAAGGAGTAATATTGTAGGATTGCAGACCTGCTTTCCTTTCAGACACTCAAGAATGCATCATAATGCGAATATTGCGGTAATATTATTACCGTAGGTCTGAGATGGAACATTGCATATTAAACCCCAATAGTGCGGTTTCCTCTAACCTTTTAATACAGAAGGCATTCTTGGGAATATTCCTGCAATATTGTGGGCAAGTAGCTCTGTTTGAAAAAGGCTTTAGATACACTAGCGTCGTTTTAGCAATATTGTATTACGAACATTTCTTCACAACGTCGATAGAAAATGCTCTTACTTGTGATGAACTTCCATCTTCTGCTATAGTATCAAATTCTGTATTCAAAATATCTCCTAAAAAATCCTCAAGTTCTTCTGGTTCAATATCATCTTGAAGAAAAAAAACAAAACATCAAAATGCAACCATTCTGTTTGCCCTCCAGCAATTTTTTGTTCACAAATTTTAAAAAGTGATCTTTATTTTCCTCCATTTTGTACATGAAAGTTGTCTAAATTTGGTGTCTGATGTAAGGTATCGCCATTCTAGGCCTAAATTCATTGCAAAATGTTGATTATTCGTTATTTTTATTCAATTTGATGAATACCCTTTGAAAAACAAATAGTTAAACAGGCCTAATTGCCATAGTAATATACCCTTTTTGCTCCTATACAATTTTCAGCATTAAAGGGCAAACAAATAATTTATTTTTTATGCCTTATATCTCAACAAAATTGATGTGATATATAATATAATTGGGTATAATTTCTATAATCTTCAGCTTTTTTTATCCATAATAGTTTCCATTCTGCAGGATGGAAGCCAGTTTTAGTAATTAAAAGCATTTAGCTTGAATTTTGTAATTATTATAACTAAATCAAATAGAGATGAATAATGGAATCAATAGCAATTGTTTTTATAGATCTAGACCATTATAATAGAGCTGGTTGTAGAAGAATTACATACCATTTTCTTGAAACCACTGCCATATAGCTCCAACAAACCACTGAGACTTTTCATAGCCGTATGGTCCGCCAAACCCATGTTGAACAGCAAGCTACAATATTAATAAACATTTTCATTTTGATAGAACATTATTTCAGATGACATATAGGATTAATGGTAAGGTTTATTGTTAGATTCCATTGACCCCTTGGTTTATTAATTTTAAAACTCTTAACGACAAAAATGTGCAATATAAAGGGTTTTTATTTCCCAAATCATGTAGGCCTAGTTTTGTAAGTTTACTGTACACAAGGGACAATCTTTAACAAGTGCAGAACAGGTTGGTTGGGACCAAGTTGATCCAGAATGCACAGGATTCTCCCAAGGATTTCTTTAAGCTGACGCTGTGATGGGATAATGTACGGTGATGCCTTTTTCTGCGCATAACACAAAAGGTGTTGCGGATGGTTGTTTTTAACCTGCTTTGAAGCCAATGAAATTAATTATTATTTTATCCCCTGCCAGATTGATTATTTAATGTTTTTTTGTAATAATAATAACAACAACAATTAATAATAACATGTGGCACTAACATAGGAAATATCTGCTCTGTATGCATCTGTACTTTTGAAAATATATCTCCTGATTTTTTGTTCATTATATTGTTGAATTTCAGTAAATTGCCTTATTTTCCAGCATATATGTTAAATTCAAAATTATAAATCTGTGCTCATTTAAAAAGTTTGCAAAAAAAATTATATCTCAATACGTTACGTACAAATTTGAGTTACTATAGTTTTTTTGATGTATCCAACGTCCAAATATAATGCAGGTCTCCCTCTAATTAAAGACCCCCTCCCCCCAATTTAATACTACCAATAGGCAAGAATTTTGTTATACTTTGGTTCGCTAACTTATTTTTTAAAAGCTTAATTGGCCAAAAGTTCGTATTCAAAATTATCATTATTGGCGGGAGTCAGTTTCGCTAAACAAAGCATAAGAAAAGTCTTGCCCTATCAAAGACCACTTTTCTGTTGTCTCTAATTAAATTAATGTCTTTTATCTTTATTATTCTAATTAGTACCACAGCTACTAAAGATCACGGACACCCTGGTCTTTTTAAGTGGTCTTTAATTGGAGGGAGACCTGTACTTCATAATGTGCGCAAGTTGATGTTGGGTCGAGTTGAGTCGATATGCCCCCAGAGCAGAATTCAGTCTGAGCATTTTGGAAAATAATGTCCAATTTAAGCACAATTTTTTCCAAGATTCAAGATACTGTAACTTTATTTCTCATAGCAGTTAAAAATACAAAATAATAAATGTAAACTTTGGTTGAAAATATATAACATTCATAAACAAGGAATTGTAAAATAAAAATAATAAAAAAAAAAAATTAAAAAATTTTTGTAAATAACAAAATTCCTTGTTTCCTGTCCCCTCCCTCACCATTTTTGGGGCCCTCATCAATTTTTTTGTTTTTTTTTATTTTGGGATTTTTTTACATCGAAAACGCAAAAATTTCAATTGCTGACACATTTTATAGTTTACAAATGCATATAGCATTCTGCACACCTATTTTCCTGAAATTATGCCAATTTGAAGCTGTTTTCAAAATATCCTCTGCGCAAATAAGATACTTTACAATGTAGGTTGGGCCGAAATTGACATTAGGCCGAGCCGAATTGATGCTGAGCCAAGTTGATGTTGGGCCGAGCCAGAATGATGTTAAGTTGGGCGCGATTTTTTTTGCCGTAGGCCTACCGTAGTTAACATATAGAAAGCACAATAACAACAATACTTTAGTGTCACAGCTTTGCGAAGTGCCTGCTCTTGTAGGTCTTAATAATTTTAACTTGGTGTCATATCAAACTCGAGTCGAGTTCATCCGAGACTGCCCCAGTGGAGTTTCATGCAGAAGTTTTGTAGGAAAAAAAAAATGCGAGCTGAGCCGAGCCGAGCTAGGATGACAGTCATTAAGCTTTGCGAAGCGCAAGCCGGGATGATGTTGAGCTGGGCTGAACCAAGCGAGTAGACGCTGGAATGAGTTAACTTTCATGATCTAGAATTCTTACCTTCATTTCTTAACAGACACGACTCTATCTATCTAGTAGTTGAGGACCTGACTGGAGAGGCTAGCTAGGCTACAACACACAACTCTAGTCCGGGTTAGTCCTCTTAGCCTACGTCCCTATCCCACTGTCCGCAAGCTTCCTAACTAGAGAGGCCTGACCTCTCTCTAACTAGGCCTAGGGTACAGCATAGAACAGGCCTACCTAGGGACCGGGTTAGGCTAGCCCTAGCTAAGCCTAGGCCCTAGGCTAGGCCTACTTACTATATAATCTATCTTACATAATTCGGTACCTAAACAATTGATAATTAAGCAGAAATTTTTAAAAATTAAATAAACTAGCCTGCAACACTGTCCATCCTTGCAATAATGCTTCTATCCCACGATAGAAAACATCTTTATCGTCAGTATAACTTGTATCATGTTTTCCTATTATGGACGCTGCCATCTTACTTTCTGTCCGATATGTTAGATAATAATATTTCAAACTCAAGTATAAAAGTATATAATTAAATATTATGTTCATAAAATAAACATTAACATAAATACAAATATTGATTTATATAACTTAATAATATAAAATTTATATTCCGTATAAACGTTCTGCTTATTGAAATTGTATTGACTAATATGGTGAGTCAGGGAGGCAGAGCCACAACAAACAAACGCTATGTCAAAGTTCGAAAGTTTACTACTGTTTATGTATCTCTTGTTGTTGAGCTCTGCAAAATTATAACTCTTATTTTTCAGGTATTACGACAGTTTTGAAGATCAGCCATGTTAGATACATGGTTAAAAGTGTTTACCATATCATACAAAGTATGTAGAGGCATGGTATGATTTTTCAAAATGGCTGAAGTTTATAGCAGGAACCTGCTGAAAATAGCGGTAGCTCAAATTTGCCAGGGCTTGGGATGGCACGCAGTGCAGACCACTCCGTGTGAGATCCTAACTGATGTGGTTGAGCGTTACATTCGACAGCTAGCCCAATTTACACATAGGTATTCGGAGCAGTGTAAGTGTCAAATAACTGTGTTCATTTAGCTGTGCTATTATTAGTACATCTTAAATTGTAAATCAGTGAGCAAAAGTGTCTGCTTTTTATTTATATTGTTTAAAGTTATTTAATAATATTTAATATAATCTTTCAAATAATAATAAATTAATGTCATTAATTTCGCATAGGCCTAGTTAACTTGGCCTAGTCTTAACTCAATAAAATGGTAGGTCTGCTGTAGCTAAATTGCTTTCTGTATTTTTCTTAATAGAACCCAAAAATAAACATGCATACAAAAATAAAAATTGTGGCAGCCAGAGGAGCTGATGAATTACAAATTGTATCTGCTTTATTTATAAAAATCTATAAAATGACAAAATCAAAAACCCAGTCTAAGTAGAGACTTGTCGAATTAAGATTTACGAAAAAAATACAAAATAAATGAAAAAGGATACAGCAAAAAAAAAAAAAAAAGCAAAAGAAAAACGATATTCACTGAAAAGCTTTTCGCATAAATAAAACAGAAAATGATAAAAAGAAAAAGAAGTATTATGAAAATAATCACCACCAAAAGTTTGAACCGTATGTAAAAGACTCAGACAATGGGCGAATAAGCAGTATGCTTTAGCTTCAAGATCAAGTTAAATCAAGGTATAATCATATCAAAGAATACAAAAGGAAAAAGGCAAAGACCCGAGAAGATAAGGAGCACAAATTACTTAATGTGGCAGTGTTGTCTAGAAGTAAAAGATAACTTAGTGCAAATTAAAACTTAACATCTTATTCTTGTTATTTTCAGTGAATATAACTTGGATGGGTTTATGCTTTCTTTTCTTCCAGATGGTAAAACAGATCCAACATTAGAAGATCTTGGACTTGCACTGCATGATATGGGGTTTTCCATCAGTGAACTAAATACGTACATCAAAGAAGTGGAACCCATTCCATTTGTCAAGGCAGTGCCATGCTTCCCACTACCCAAGCCTAGTAACTTTCAGCATCCAATACCTGGCTCAAAGCATTGCCGGGAGAGGTTGCATTACATACCTGACTACCTTCCACCATTGGTATCAATAAAAGGTGGTAAGTTTTCAAATCTGGTTTTTAAATTTCAAAAGCACTGTTTTTATTTAGAAAACTGTTGATGTTTTGTTAAATAACAGATACTTTTTTCAATCATCAAGAATATAATCATCACCATTCACCTTTTTAAAATTGTTATTATATTTAAATTTTTTTTTAAATGATGAAACTTCTGTAAATGCAAGTGTCATTATTGAGTTACATCAATTGCTTGATTTGTGGATGTGTTAGATTAGTTTTCTAATAACCTCCTTTGTTTGTATAATTATATAGTTTAACTTTTATTCTAGATCCTGACACTTCAGATTTAGCTGAAGATGTCAGCCACTCAACCTCAGCAAATGGTGTCCACCATGAAGGAATCGATACAAATATCAAATCTATGAAGGCTATAGGCCCAAACTTTGAAGCACCCTTCACACCACCAAGGGGTGAGAAACGAACGTTACCAAGCCCTTATGATGGACATGATAATAAGAGAATGAGACGTGTTGAAGATGGTACTCCGCAAGAACTAGTAACCGTGACAATGGAAGCCAATGGGATCCTTACACCCAAACGGGAAGGCAAGCTTCCGGATGCATGCACCCCTCCTCCGAAGTTCACTGAAAAACTGAAACAAAAAATAACATCTTCAAGTCCATTACCTGAGCCATTTAAATTGAAAGGATCTCCGGATATAAAGAAGTCCATCAGCAAAGATGGCTTATCTTCCAAGAAAACACTTAAAGAAAACGAGTTAAAGAAAACATCTATTAAGTCTGATTCAAAGAAACAAGTAAAAGACAATGTTGAAAGTAAGAAGACCGTTGCAAATGAGAACAGTGATCCTTCTAAGAGCAACAAGACTTCGAAGAGTTCTGCTGGTAAGAAATCGCCAAAGCCTTCACAGGCCATTTCTCCTGCAGTTTCAACACCCAAATTAAAACCACAGAAATCACCAAAACCATCATTTAGTTTGTTTTTGTCTGACTCATCTTTCAAGTATCCTACAAAGCAAAAGTCTGTAGGTGGAAGTGACAAAACGGACATTGGAAACACTTCAAAGAGTCCAAAACCAGCTCCCTCCTCTCCTCGGGTCATGCAATCAACGAAAAAATCTGATCTGCAGACTCCAACCTCAAAATCGCAACCTGCAACCAAGAAATCTGATATATATGATTTTGATGATGATGAATTTGATAGTCCACCAAAAGATAAAGGTGACCCAAAAATGTCTTCCCCTCCATCGGAATCATCATTGAACGCAATGCAAGAAGCATTTAGGTCGGCTGTTGCGAAAGGCAAGCAGGAAATGGAAGCCGGAAAATCAAAACAATCGAGTGCAGTCGATGAGAGTACAAAGCCAGATTTGTCTTCATTGAAGAATCCCACCGATGCCTCTTTCGACGCAGCCGTCTCAGCTGTTATCAAGAAGAAACAGAAAAATACTTCTCTGGAGAAGAAAGAAGGGGCTTGCTTAACTCCTAAGTTCGCTTTCAAGCAAGCTCTCCGCGAACAAGAAGCTGAACTCAAAAAGCAGACAACTAATTCTAGTAATGAAAAACGACCAAAAAAAATCAAGGAGGAGAAAGTAAAAGACTCTTTGCACTCTATAAAGACTAAAGCAATTAAGAAACGGAAGAAAATATATAAAGACAAAGAAAAGAAGCTCAAAGTCGCTAGTAATATTCTGGATGAAACAAAAAAAGCTAAGAAGCTACCAGATCTGACCTTTAAGCTGAAGACATCTGGAGGTGAAACGAAGATTGTGAAAGACAGTAAACAAGATAAAAGTGCCAAGTTAAAGTTTGCACCGATACCAAAATTGAATATTAAACGGAAAGACTCCACATCCTTACAAGTGGTGCAAGTTAAACCCGAGATTGTTAGTTCTAAGAAAGATGATAAGAAAAAAGACAAGAAAATTAAAGACAAGTTGAAAAAGAAGAAAAAATTGAAGCAGAAATCATTGCCCGATGGAAGTGAAGATACTGTTCAGAATGTTGCAAAGAAGGTATGTTTCGACTTGATTGATTTTTTGTACTTTTTAGCAACAATGTCAAACAGTGCTTTACCAAAAATGCACTGTGTTGCTCTCCAAATATGTTGATGACAACAGCAAATTACATTTTTATAATTTACCTTTCTGGAAAGTGTCAATAAAAGGTGCTGTACTGACCACAAACACATTTTACAGTAATTTTGTAAGACATTAACAATGGCTTCAAATGGCACGGGGCTTAGCGGAAAGGTTCATTACATTTATTTAAGTGCATGGACCAAGGATTGCCAATACTGAATACACTTTCATAATTAGCAATCACTTTTACAAATCGAGAACTATGCAGTTCTTACAGTGTTCACACAGCCAATGCTGGTGATTTTGACATTACAGTACAGTATATGTCACCACTGTATGTTATTACAGTACTATTAGAAAATGGCGCTGGATTTACTTCCACCGTAACAACACTATTTTTTATCTGGGTTAGGCCTCATTGATGTATGTATACAGTATATGTGTTTCAGTTGAAGTAATTTTGCTATATACCTCACATGAATTTCCTCCCCAGCTTTACAATTTTATAAAGTATTTATATTGTCTTAGTTTCTGTACTGAGTGAATTTTTTTATTTTTAAGTTGAAATCGGAAGGAGAACCTCTGGTACCCAAAATAACTTTAACATTTGGCTCAAGTTCAACTGGAGAGGGCAGTAAACGATTGTAAGTTGTCTAAGACTGAGCACTGTCCATATACTTTCTTATCATAATTGTCAAGGTAACATAATGTGAAAATTGCTTCCTTACTTTTATATTTCTAGTGTTATCAAACCGGCTAAGCCAGCATCACCTGTCAAGAAATCACCGTCACCTGTCCCACAACCCCTGTCCCCAGTACTTCCTATCCCCACTCAGGTATCCCCTGTTGCTGCTCCTGCAAAGACTCCTGCAAAAACTTCAACGGTCAAGAAGAAGAAAACAGTGAAACCTCCTCCACTTCCAGTTGTCACGCCAACTAGGCCAATTACTCCGACAACAACGCCGTCTCCTACATCTAAATCATCACCAATTGAAATTAAACTGGACAGTAAAATATTCTCTCCATATGATTTTGATTCGGATTTTTCAAATCAAAGTCTTGAAACACCTAGAACACCTACCACTAGTCCAACACCTTTGTTTCCGAAAACAGATGTGTCTCCAACCTACAAGCCGTCTGCTGTATCGCCAACTTACAATCCAGCAGAGTCTCCAACTTACAAGCCTCCAATATCACCAGCCTACAAATCTGCAGTGTCACCAGCCTATAAGTCTTTAGTGTCACCAGCTTACAAATCTACAATGTCACCAGCCTACAAGTCAGAAATGTCGCCTGCCTACAAATCTGCAGTGTCTCCACCTTACAAATCACCTGTGTCTCCAGCTTACAAATCTGCAGTATCACCAGCCTACAAACCAGACTTACCTGCTGATCTTCCAGTTGTGAAGCCAAAAGAAACAAAGCCTTCTAAGAAATCCTCCAATCAAAACAAATCAAAGTCCACAGCAGACAAAAAGAAATCCGCTTCATCAGCAACTAATCCTGCTAAAAAGAGCACACCGGAACGAAAGACACCGTCTGGGCCGAAGCTTAAGCCGTCGCCAAAAACAGCATCACCGACAGCAACAGCTCATGATAAGCGTGAAACATCTCCAGCCCCAGTCACTTCGCCTCCTGTTAAAGCTGAAACGGTTACAAAAGCAAACAAAACAGCCGCACAATCATCAACCAAGGCAGCTTCAAAGGCTAAATCTACAAAAGCAGCTGGAAAGGCAACAGCCACAAAAGCCCAGGCTAAGGTTCAGAAGCTGGAAGAGAGATCAGTTGTGACAGAAACAATTGGAACTGTTGTGGTAAGTGATTCTTGTATTAATTGTATTGCTGTTTATTGTCTAACATGTCTGCCATAATTGTTGTGTGCCAACATTTTTCGTTCTGTTTGTGTTGAAAATGTAATATGTAATTAAATGTGCAGATAAGGAATAGAAGCAGTATGGAAGGGCTTCAAAAAGGTCTAATGGCTCCTTTACTGTTGCAGTGTATGTACCAGCATGGAGCCCATAAGTCAGGCTGCTTTTTTAATTTGAAAGTATGATTAAAATTCTTAAGGCATAATAAATAACTTTTTAACAAATTTATAAAAATATACATAAAAATAACTAAATAATTTAAATAACATTAATTAATTCAAAATAATAATGCAGAAAAAGGCTACATGTACACTCTGCAGGTGGAAAACGGCGTCGCGAGCAGCTCTATCAAGAGATTGATACGTGTGCCTAATAAGATGACATTATTATTATTATTATTATTATAGTTAATTATTTAATTTCCCTTTTTCCAGGCCATGTGTAAAGATAACTAAGGAACCTCCGGAGGACCAGGACTGGTTCTGCCCAAAATGTCGCAAGAAAAAGAGGAAAAGGAAGAAATACTGAAGAGCTCATTATTCAGTTTATTATTTTTGTAAATATGAACAAAATTAAATATTCAATCAATTTATAAAGCTGATAATGATTTTTAAATGATGAAATTTATTAATATAAAAAGATGGAGATTATGTTTTGTCACTGAATACATTTAAACTGGGTGCTGTTGAAACAAGCCATGGGCAAGGTGTTTTAAAGCTCTATATAATTTCAAGCAGGGGTTGTATATTTGTAGTTTAGAAAAATCCCCAAAACTAATACATTTTTTAGGGAATTTATTGCGATTGGCAACAAGAATTCCACTATTATTTTTTTAAAGACCAAATTACATTAAACTTAAAAATGTTTGAATGAGATTTGATAATAAATTAAGATTAAGTGTGAGAGTAACTGTATATGATATTGTATGTTTAATAGTAATACAGTATTGTATATTAATTTTATGTTTTGACGATTTGTAACTGTCTGGGTGGCCTACCTTATTACAGAATTTATCACATGTGTTTATTTTGTCACCACTAAAGATGGGTAAAAGGGTTTAAATGGACAGGTCTGCTAAGCCTTGCTAAGTTCCCACGGAACAACAGTGTGAAGCCAACCAATCACTGTGTCATACAATGGTCGAATCCAACTCCGCTTCCTATGGGAGCTAGACAACATGACGCGCTGTCTGCTGATTGAATGAATGCAGTCTGAATGAATCGTCATTAAAAACCATGCATTTGTGTTTACAATACGTAATTACGCAAGTTTGTGGGACAATTGTGCATTCTGATAGCCCAGTAATTAAGTTTGTTTGACATGTCAACCATGGTTTTACTAGAGTTGTCGTATGTATACAAAAGGCATCTTACCATAAATGTTCCATTAAGCAGACTCTCATAAACTTTGTTGGAAGCTCGAAAGTAAAACATAAATTCTTTTAGCGCTAAAATGTACAATGTATTGTAATTATGTTTGGTGTGGCGGTTATTTGAACATTTACCGTATGTGGTACACAAGTTTTAACCATGTTTTTATCTGTAGATGTTCTTTGCTAAAAACATGGATTTTTTTTTTTTCTATACAGGTATAAGTATTTGTATTTCATTAAAATAAAAATGAATTTTATGAATTAAGCAGGGCTTACAGGAAATCTTTGATAGCTGTGATTTGTGAACTAAATAAGCCGCATTCCTCCTCCTCTACACAGTCTATATACTGTAATTTTAAATTTTGCCTTTCGCTTCCACTGTATTTTGGAAAAGGTGAAAGTAACATCATGTTTTCAGACTAAATTAACAGTACCATAATACTTATAATGCAAGTTGCATTTGTTGGTGTGTGTTAGGCAACTCTTGGCATGCTAATGTAGTGTAAACTTACATTCCTTTGATTTTATACTACAAGTCAATGTCCATCACATGTTTCCTGGAGTTAATTTTACTGTATTTCATACTTAATACACAGTAGAGGCTTAAATTAAGGGCACACCTACCCATAAATAGGGGTTTTCACATGGTCTGTTTTAGTTTAAAGTATCTAATTTCTAATAATTTTCAATGCCAATACAGTACAATATATTTTATGATATAAAATCAACATACATATAATTAATATAATGGAACTTGATATTTGATACATGACGAAATATTTTTTTTTGGCAATACTGTACTGAGCTTTCTATTTATATGTAGAAGATACAGTAGCATAAAGAGTAATGACTTTGAATTAGTTTGTGGATTGAAATCCCATATAAAAGTACAGATACAGTACACAGAACAAAGAAGTGCTGTTTAATGTGTATGGCTCAACATCTGAATGAAATGCGTTTAGTCTATTGTATTGTCACAGATAAGAAAAAAATAGTGTCCCCCATATAGGGTAAAATAGGTTAGATTGACCATTACACACACAAACAGTTCACCTGTCCCTTAAATAGTAGTGATTTTCATCCCATTATTTTGCAGAAAGTTGCCTAATGTTAGTGCCAATCACGCAAGTCTCCTTACTGCAGTGTATTGTTACCTTGATTTTTGTAATTAGTGTAGCAGACACTCATGAACCCTTTATGTCTGAAGACCAGCATTTGCCTTGGTCTGATGATATATTGTGTCTTAAGCATTGAAACTAACTAGCATATTGTATGTGAAGGATAATACAGTGTACATTATAGTGCATGATTGTAAAATATCCCCATTTCATCTTTTTGTATATAATGAAAATGAAAAAAATATCAATATCAAGTACTACAATTTTTTAAAATAAAGATCAAATGAACCTTTTATTATCAAGTTTGGTGTGTTTATTTTCAAATATTACCAGAATAGAGGACAAAGATATTGAATTTGAGAATTGGGTAGCAACCTACATGGACTATTGGACGCAGCTCAGGCTGCCCATCTAAGGACAAACAATGGTCTACCGTCTTGCAATGGCTAGCTAACTGTATAAAATGGTCTTCCATTTGTAAAAGAACACCAAATGTAACTTTATCAATGATATGGCAGATAGATACCAAACTGGCCTCTACCTGTGAAAAACCCAGCCACTCCGAAAAGGCATTGCAATCAATTACATTTAACTATATAAATGACCTGACAGCTGTGTGTTGGCCACTACACTCTTCATGCCAAGTCCTTTTAAGCATTCTTGTATTGCCATAAGCATGGAATAAAAATCAAAAATCAAGCTTTCTCCTGTGGAATTTCCATGGTCCATGAAAACAAAAACATCAAATACAAGAAAAAAAAAAGAAAAAAATCTACGAAATACAAGGAAAAATGACATCCAAAGACAGCATAAACATTGTGTGTACTTGTGACCCGGGACTTCTACATCGTAAGAGAAAAGAACCAATTATTTCTAAGCTACAATAAATTTGCAAAAAAGCATGAATTAAGGCATTTATTTTGAATATTATCATCATATTTTGTTTTTATAACTGGTATGTTGATGAAGATTTAAAGACTAGCTAGGACATTTTGAATTTTGTGGTCAACGTCCTCTCGCTTGGCCTTGTTAACTTTATCTTGATCCAGATACTGTTGTTTGCTGAACTTGCCAGACACTAACTTCTCAGCATTGGTAACACTTTGCTGAGCGAGCTCCTTAGCTTGTGCGCTAAATTTTTGCAGCTCGGATATCTGAAATTGAACAAGCAAAACAACTTTTAATAGGCATCTTTAAACATTTTACACAATACAGTCACTTTCAGCAATATGTGACAAAGTGAATTTGTGGTTTAACACTAAGGGCTGTGCACAAACTCAGACATTCCCAGAAAAAAACTTTATGCACTGCTTTTACACCGCTTTATGCTCAGTTTAATATTATTTTTACATATGATAAGAGTGTTGGGATGCAAGAACAAGGGGTTTCTAGCCAAAAACGGTAGACAGGCTGCACATACAGGGTTGTCACACGGGCGTAAAAAATTGCTGTCGGGCTGCATCTGGCCCGAAGACTGCACTTCGCACACCTGTGCATACTTATAATAACACTATAATAATGCACATATATTAATATTATAATAAAAGATAATATATATATATATATATATATACCACTC